CCAATCACAAGGCTGAGTTAGCTCTTCTCGGGCGTCGGGGGCCGTTTTGGTTCATGAACTGTACAGCCTACTATTTCACCTGCTAAACTGACTCGGACCCCAAAGTTGATGGAAGAAGGTCATCATCGGTGGGGCTGGGAAGAAACCTCAGGCGGTTTCGCACCAAAAGTGAGAAAGATTCTGGAGAGCGACTCCTTTTCAGGGCTTGGTTCCGAAGGTCCAAAGTCTCTACATAGACTAAACATTCCCTTGGCGATAGCAATCCGACAAGGCGCTTTAGGGCAGAAGGGTTGCCAAGACTTGCGATGACCTGGGTAGTGCTCCCACGCAAGGACGGCAACGAGCAAAGGATGAAAAAGAATATGTGACAACTTCTTGGTAAAGGACTTACAATCCTGTTCCTTTGGTCCTTTGGAGGTGGAACGTCTTCCATAACCGGAATAGAACATCCCTGATACAGGTGATACGGGTTGACCCTCAAAATTCCAGCTTCGATACTGGAAATCGCCGATCCAAATCCGGACATTTGCTCACAAAGCACCCGGGGCGATCACCTGAACGAGTGATCCTCAGTCTCCGCCTGAGATCTAAATTACGAGGCTTGGGTAAAGTCCAAGGTCCGTTTGCAAAGCAAAACATCCATGAAAGTGAGACAAATCCATGCCCCTTGGATCCTGTGCCTGCGATCTCATGGATCCATGTGAGCAAACTTGGTGCTGGTGCTGTTAAAGGCCCGGACAGTGGCAAAGGGAACACACATGAGAAGTGCACAGATTTCATAAATACATGGAAAGTACATAGTGTCTCTCATTTCGTCCCACTTTTTACACAGCATTGAAGACTTCAATTTTTATCCCGGTGGAAAAACGGTTTGGAGCCAGGCGCGCGAATCAACGACGCAAATACGCGCCATAGCACTTGTCACTGTTTCCGCGCATGTTCGCTGGACTGCTCTCGAGACAGACAGTGTTCTTTCCACAGGAATCCCACTGCAATTGCACTTCGTGTCACCCCCCCGCCACCCAATGCTGTTAACAACACGATGTCAAGAACCAAGCCAGGTGCATAAAGAAAACATAAAATTGCCTTGCCATCGGGTTAACAGCGCCGCTAGCACACCAAACCTGAACCGGAACCAAACTGGATTCACCTCTCAGGGCCGAAGTCAGATCTTGCACCGACCATTTCGGGGTGACCGTTTCGAAAAACGTTGTTTTGAAATGCCTTCCGTGTCGAATTCCGTTCGGACGTGGTCGTGTTCGCTCCAAGTGGCAGGATTCAGGCCTTGGAAAATCCGCAAGTCTAAGACGGCCCTGGGAGACACGAAGAAGCCTCAGCGAAGCGCTTTTTGGAGCTTGCTGGGCATGTTGCGGGCGGGTGGCCGAAGGTTTAAAAGATCGTTTTTGGTTTTCCGGCTTCATGTTCCAAGGAATTGCACCAGTTAGGCTCTGTTTTTTCACCCGGTGAGTTATTACCACTAGACCTTTACAATGTGAAATACAGCAAAAGAACTTCTAAAACAAAAAACTACCAGTACAGCCGTACAGCAAAGGAACTTCTTGCAGTACAGGGCATTTGGGGCAGGGTCTACAAACGACACTTTTTCGTGGATTTTGGCTTCGTTTGGGGCTTCGTGTTGGCTTCGTTTTGATTTCATGCACTCCAAGAGGATACACGTGCAAACATCCCACCAAGAGGATTCGTTTTTGGTTTTCCGGCTTCGTTTTCCAAGGAATGTGCAAGATTCTGCTAGATCTCACCATTTAAAAATGATCAATTTTGTAAATATTAACCTTAACGCTATGATTTTGAGTGTGGCTCATATAGAAAGAGGATTCCGGATCAGGTGGAGGGTTGAGGCGCACAGTCCCGGGACAGAGGGAGAGGGACAAACAGAGAGAGAGAGAGAGAGAGAAAGAGAGACAAAGAGAGACAGAGACAGACAGAGAGAGAGAGAGACACAGAGAGAGGGACCAGGGAGGGAGGGAGGGAGCGAGAGAGAGAGATATATATATATACACAGAGAGAGAGAGAGAGGGAGAGAGGGAGAGGGAGCGAGGGAGCGAGGAAGCGAGGGAGCGAGGGAGCGAGGGAGAGAGGGAGAGAGAGAGGGAGAGGGAGAGAGAGAGGGAGAGGGAGAGAGAGAGGGAGAGAGAGTGTGCAAGGAAATGTAAGGACGAAGAAGAAAAAGAAGAATAAGAATCGTGTTTGAGTGCTCTTCAACCATTTCTACGGTTTTCGCTTCTCTTTCGTCAAACTCTGGCAAATGCGCAGCAATACAATGGTCCTCAGCAAAATCAGAGCGGTCCAAATGTTGAGTAATAGAGAGGGACCTGGGGCCACAAACAAATCAGCTGACAAAGGACCACCAATAATTGTGAACCTTTGACCGACCGAGACTGTGATCAAACTCCTCGAGGCACAAGCATACCCCTTGCAAGGGTGTATAGATGCCTTTTGACTTAAAAAACACTGTTTTTGTTCATATTCCAAGAAGCTTTGCATGGCCCGGGCCGCTTCCCACCAAGAATTGAGAATCATTTCGCCAGCCTTGGGCGTTGGAGCGTGTGCCTGACCGTTTACCGTGCGGGGTTGACCTACCCTATACTGAACAACCATAGAAATCTACCAGGATAGTCAGTCTGGTTAAGGACATGTGTTCCTCCTGCGATGTTTCCCTACTGAACTGAGTTTACCTGTTGAAAGAGATACAGTAACATAGAGTAGCATTGAACTGTTCAAGTACGAAAAGGAACGTTGCACTTGGGCCTTCGTAAACCTGCAAACACCTGATCAGTCAGAGCACCAGGCATCTGTATTTATATAAATATATATATAACCTGCCACAATATTACGGACTTCTTCAAACGGGCAGGCGCGCGACATACTGACACCGCTGATGCCTCTTCTTCCATCTTCTGCCCAACAGACTGAGGCATGTGCACTGCTCTTTCCGTCTGGTCTAGATTCTAGATGATTGCAACTATTATCTAAATCGATCTATAAGATTCGATGACTAGTCTCGAAGTCACGCCCTCGTTGATTGCAGCTGCTTGCTGCTTACTCCTTCCCCTGCTTACTCCTCAAAAGCCACAAATCAAACGAAGCAAAGGAACAGCTTCCTGTGAACCTGCATGAGTCAGGAACGTCTGCCACGTCTGCTGGACGTCAGACACGAGGTCTGCAGGGAACTCCACCTTGTCGAAACTCTGGTGGTAGCAGACCTGGCCGTTTCATGTGCTGCCCGTTCATACCTACGGCGGTTTTGGGGTCTGTTTCAGCATGGAAATCCCATCCATTCGCTGGTCCGTGTCCATCGCTGGATGATGTGAACAGTGCGAGTACGTCTGAGAAGAATTGGGAAATCCTGAACATCTGAAGCAGGCGCTTTTTCCTTCCACTTTTCAGGTGCGAAAGGAAAAAAAAGATGTAGTTTGTCCATGTTTGTCCTTCAAACATAACATGACCCGCCTGGTATTTCTCCAGAACTGCATCGGCTTCGACCTAGGGCATACGTCATGAAACTGCTATGCTCGGTCATACATCATGAGTTTAGAAGGATTGCCCCGGTCGCGACTCTCATGCCAAAGCCACAGTCTCTTCCTCTTCTTCTTGAACCTCTGATCCGGATTCCTGTCCTGTGAATGTTCAAATGACCCAAACTCTGTTCGTTTTGTCGCGTGTAAAGAGTCGAGCTACTTCGGATGCCGATCTTGGTCTGTCTTGAAGCCCACTCTATCCTTTGGTCTGGGGAAGTACACGGTCTATGATCCAAAAACCACCAAGCCTCACAGACATCAAGACCGTTGGTCAATCGAGCTTTGAAGACAAAGAGCAAAGAGCTATAGCATGTGTTCGACACCAATCTCTCAAGGTCTTTCAGGTCCATGTCCCAATCTCTTTGATTCTTAACTGATCTTCAAGGCATGCATGTGGTGTAGGTCAAATGCCCATCTGCCCGCATCCTGCGGCCTTGAACGCAGCACATGGTGTCAAACTACTGTCAAACGCGGCCTTGAACTGTCCCACAGGGCAATTGATTCGGTCCTTCTGAAGCTTCCAGTTCAGTCTCCTCCTCGGCCTCCTCAATGTCCTGATTTCGGAAAAGGTACACAAAAAAGGGCAACTACCAGCTACGGTCGTTGGGAAGACAACGGATTTATTCTATCAGACGTGATCTGTCTGTCAGTGCCTGTGTCCAGTTTTTGTTTTCTGGACAAAAAACAGAAGGGTGGAAGGAATATCTTCCTCTACCTGTTTTCTTCAGCTTTGGTTTGACAACATGACCAGTCCCTGCCAGTCCCTCATGTTTGATCGAATCTGAGGGTATAGGCCAAAGCAAAATGTCCAAGTATTATAGGAGGGTGGACTTTGGCTCTGCGGGTCTACTTTTGCTCAGGAGATGTTTGATCTTTTTTGTATGTGCACAATTGAAACAAGCTGGTTTCCAGCTCGCTTAGAAAGTGAAAGAGGACAACGGTTTGGGTTCTGTTTCCTTCTGAGTCCAAACAAAGTGCTCAGCAATTCTATCCTGGCAAGCTTACCACCTCACTCCCAGAACACGGTTGCAAATTGCACGTCCTGGATGAAATCGTTCTCTTCAATTTCATCGTCATCCATTAGGCGCGGCTCAGTCCCTACAATTATAGGGTCGAGCCGAAAAATGTGTGCTTGAGCCACACCGGTTGCAGTGCGAAGGGTTAACACGTCAAGAGACTTTGGGTTAAGGCACAAGGTTCGCTACGAACGGGGCTCCTGGCATCGCTACGAACGGAGCAAGGACGCTACGAACGGGGCTCCTGGCCTTACTACTAGGAACAAGAAGCTACTAGGAACAAGGCGTTAAAAGGCACCCAGTCCATCCCAACCCAATGACCGGGGAAGACGCACAACACGATCAATAGGATTTGAAGGCCTCGTCAAACGATTTGGCCGCTGAAAAATGCATCCACAGCCCACCCTCCGATCCGCTCCCAGCCCCACATTTGCAGCAATGATGCTGAGATCCGCCTCGGCAATGCCCACTACGCTGTCCTGATCAAAAGGTCTAAAGTTGGCAACATTGCAAAACATCTATTTTAAAAAATTAACTGGGAAAATCAACAACGTGTCGTACGACCAGGATGGTAACGGACGTAAGCTTTCGGGTCTTTTTGCTGGATCCAAGTTTTCCACGGCCAGGGTCCGACCGATAATTTTCCGCGTCAGATGTGGAAGGCTTCCAAGCGGATCGGGAAGGCTTCAATCCAAGTTCAGGAGGACACTTCATAAGAACCAGCAACAATTCAAGTGGCAAGCAAGGCCTTCATCTCCGAATGCAAACACGAAAGCGTCACACGAAAGCGTCATAAGCCCTTGTACATCGAACATGCAAGCACAAGCTAAAATGTTTGCTTCACGCAAAAATCAGGAAGACAAATCCTGATCCAAGCAAAAGTGACAAGTGACAAGTAAGGGTCACACTCAAGTAAGTCATGTTCATGACATCTGAAACTCCCCGAACAACCTCATGTTTCAAAATTCCGACAGTGGATTATTGAATACTGCGGGACAACTTAGTTTACATGTGAAACGTCCTGACAAGTCATCGAAATCGAATAGAGGACAGAAGTGAACTGCAGGGAGATCCAAGGCAAGCAGGGACAAGTCCCTTGCCATGCCTGGCCTTGCAAACATCAGAAAATGAGATGATGAGTGTAAAGACTCCTTGAAAAGACTCCTGCAGTCGTTTGCAACATGGCAACGCAAAAGGCCATTATCTTCCCTATACCTCTGGTCTTGTAAAAGTAGGGCACGTGACCCAGTACAAAATCTGTGAGGTTCTTCAAAGGAACGAGGATACAGTAGATCTTCCAGCCAAAATTGTCTACTTTCGGCATGATGCTACTAGATTCTAGATGTTGCTCTGACTGGCATAATCTAGCATAACTTGAGAAGCAGCTTCACCCCCCAGATTGCTCGTCGCACCAGCTCGCTTCATCCAGCTGATCGACTCCCCGTCCTTGCGGTATAGATCTCGATGCCAGACCTGTGCGAAGAAGGAGCCAAATCTGAGGAAGAAGACAAGGAGCGTATGCAGCCGTATGGAGCTGTCGAGCTGGCCCAAGGTGAGCCAACAAACGAGAAGTTCCAGATTAATACGGAACTCAAAGCTTGAAGGCGAATCAGTGTTGTCAGTGATATGGACAACGTATCTTCTTGGCCCCTGTCTTTGTCTATGTTCTCGTTGCCAGGAGGAGGGTCAGCACGTGTCTTGGAACTTCTCACTCCAAGGCGGTCTCTTTGAAAGGCTAACAACTTGTGGCTTCACGGGTATGAAGAAGGGTACGACTGGATGACAAATGACACACATAAGCTGTGAGATTGTGATTGGGCGCTATCGGTAAGCTTGGTCAAGGCTTGAATACTAGCGTAGTGAATGTAGCTTGAATATGATGTTAATTAAGTATATATATATACACATGAGGTACGGTCAAAATATACTATATGCGGCTGTTGCCCGCATATGAATGCAACACGCTCCTATGCAATCGTAATTAGTATATAATAGTAATCATCACAACTTTTGAAGGCACTTCATATAGAATTCGTTCCCCCAAACCCAGGGGTCTTGGCACCCTGGAGAACATCTGAAACCACCACACAAAGGCTGCCTGCCTCGAGGTACAAAGGCTCTTCCAAACGTGCCTGGCCGATCGGCCACCCTAATTACTTCACTTTGAGTAAAGTGTTTGCAGGACGTGACATGTTGCATTTTCGACTTCTCCGTGCAACCATGGGCTGGAGCTCAAAACCCAATTCCTTTTATGTCTGAGTTTTACAAAAACAGTCCGCTGGGATTTGCTCCAGACTCTGTTTGAACAATCTCCCAACGAGGGGCCGGTCCTGCAGATCCTCGAGTGTCGAAGTCAAGCAATAGGCGGCAAAGGAGTGCGGCATGCTCACCGTGGCCTCGACGGCGTGGAGGATCCGAAGGGTCAGGGATGCAGCGGGATACTGCGGGATGTCATGCCGTGGCTGGACGAAGCTTTTGGGCTCCATGCTGGCTAAAGGAGGCTAAAGCATAGACTTGTGTAGAAGGCAGCACAAGGGAAGTTGGATTCACGTAACAGATCAACTCGTTGCTACTTTGAGGTGAACATGATTCAATTGATATGATTCATATGGCATCGCCATCCTGAGGTTACCATGGACCTCTAGGGGCTCTCTCTTTCTGCTCACTAACCCGCACCAAATATTGCTCCATCGTTCTAAGTCTTTGGGCCTTTGACGCTAGTAGTGTCCTTGCTCCTAGTAGCGATGCCCTTTGTTCCTAGTAGCTTCTCGCTCCTAGTAGTAAGGCCAGGAGCCCCTACAAGTAGTAGCGTCATTGCTCCTAGTGACGATGCCCTTTGCTACTAGTAGCGTCCATGCTACTAGTAGTAATGCCAGGAGCTACTAGCAGCGTTGGCCTTTGACGCCTTTTTCCTCACCATGTACTCGACGGCTTCAAAGGATGGAGGGCGAACCATGGACGTGGGAATCGTCCCGACCCAGACTGACTTGAACCAAACCCTTTCAATTTGAGGGCCTGGATTCTTAGGGTGGAACAGAAACACGACCAACACGCTGGAGTTGGAGCCCTGCCTTTTTCCGCAGCAAGTTTGGCCTCAGCTCAAGACGTCACCACTGATGGTGCGATATCGTTTCTTTCCACAGGGCTCTTTTGAATATCTTTGAATAGCATGTGAGCCCAATCGGATGCTTCAGTTATCTGTTCAACACAGCACACTAAGCCAAAACTACAGTTGTTTTTTAGATCATTGCTTCAGCCTGCCATGGCCTACCATGGGTTGAGTCTACCATGGTCTGCCCACATCGCTCGCAAATTTGCTTCCCTCACTGACGCCCTGGCGGGTTGGTTCGGAAGGGGCGCACCTGCCGAAGAGGCCTCGGACAACTTGTCGGAGTGGATTCATTCGGAAGCGGATGTGGTTCTTAGACTCCCTTGTGTGAGAGAATGCGTTTCTTCCATCTTTTGCCTAAGTTGGTGGAAAGCACAAGAAACAACAGTGGACGGAGCAAGTCAGGTCCAAACTGGCTGTTGATAAACAATGATAAATAATTGATAAACCTCAAGCGGGATAAGATATTAAGTTGTTGTCTTCAAGAGCCTTAGTTCTCTCTGTCGAACTCTCTGTCCACAAGCAATACTGGATGAAGTTCAAGTATTAAACGGTATGGAAATCAAACATATTTATATGTTCTTATAATAAGTCCTTCAAATGAGGGTTCTCAGATGCCCTCAGCATGGGTTACATTCTTCCCATTGAAAACTGTTTGTGCAGAACAATTCTTTGCATATGCACCACGTTCAAATGCGGTATCTCCGGCCTTTCTGACCCACCATGGTGTGGGCCTCCGGACGGATAATTGTAGCTCACAAAGGCGTTCGCCGCGCGTTCCGTGAGCCTCGCCGAGCATCGCGTTCACATCCACTGCATGCCGATGGCGGTGTCCCATACATCCATGTTTGAGCTGGAGTCCCCACGGTCTGGAAGCAAGTACCAGGTTTGGGCGCAAAATATCAGGGCAAATTGACACAGCATATCATCCTACCTAATCTACGGACTTGCATCTTCTTCCCGCTGATATCTGAGAAGTGCATCCAAAGCATTGACTCAGTGCCATGGCAGAGCCACACCACACAAGATGTCACGCGTTCAAAAATACCCTGATCTTTTGTTTGTCCTTTCAAAGTGGATCTTCTCAGGAGCAGTACAAATCATCGAGACGTGCTCAAAAAAGAAAAACTACACAGAACTACCCCTTCTGACGAGTTCTGTGCAGTCTTGTCGCTCCTGGCTGAGCGAATCTCAATGGACAAGCGCCAATGCCTGTGGTCAGCTCGTTACAAATGGTGTGAAGAACCACACAAAGATGGTGGCCAGGAGAAAATATGGGGACAGACAGACAGCCAGCCAGCCAGGCAGGCAGACAAACAGACAGACAAGACAGACAAGACAGACAAGACAGACAAGACAGACAAG